AAAAAACTGCAAAATGAAATTAGGCAGGTCAGTGCAGGAGGGCAGTTTCTGGATCTTATGCACCTGTTTACAATACACAGTATATATAAATATGCATACTAGGGGTGTGTGATATTGACACAAATGGCAGAATTTATTTACACTGCACTTACAATTGCATACATAATTCTATGATATTGTTTTAAAAATAATATTTTGAATATTAAAATATAAAATGATTTTTTTTAAATTAAATTAAGCTTTTACATTTGAAACTAAAACCACTAGTAGGTGCAGCAAGTCATTGTCTTTCTGAGTGAGTCATTGAATCATTTATTCAACCAATTCTTTTGAACAACTAATTTATTAAGGAACAAAGCAAGTGATGGTCTTTATGAATGGATCATTGAATCATCGATTAGTTAAAAAACACAGATTAATTTGGGAACGAAGCAAGTGATGGTCTTTATGAATGGATCATTCAATCATTATTTAGTTCACAAACACAGATTCATTCAGGAACAAAGCAAGTGACTGTCTTTATGAATGGATCATTGAATCATTATTTAGTTCACAAACACAGATTCATTTGGGAAAGAAGCAAGTGATGGTCTTTATGAATGGATCATTGAATCATTATTTAGTTCACAAACACAGATTCATTTGGGAAAGAAGCAAGTGATGGTCTTTATGAATGGATCATTGAATCATTATTTAGTTCACAAACACAGATTCATTTCGGAGAGAAGCAAGTGATGGTCTTTATGAATGGATCATTGAATCACTGATTAGTTCAAAAGCACAGATTAATTCAGGAACAAAGCAAGTGACTGTCTTTATGAATGGATCATTGAATCATTGATTAGTTTAAAAACACAGATTCATTTGGGAACGAAGCAAGTGACTGTCTTTATGAATGGATAATTGAATCACTGATTAGTTCAAAAGCACAGATTAATTCAGGAACAAAGCAAGTGACTGTCTTTATGAATGGATAATTGAATCACTGATTAGTTCAAAAGCACAGATTAATTCAGGAACAAAGCAAGTGACTGTCTTTATGAATGGATAATTGAATCACTGATTAGTTAAAAATGTTAAAAAATGCAGATTCATTTGGGAAAGAAAAACATTTCAAAAAGCAAAAACAGACAATTTTGACAGTATGGTGCCTAAAATGTAACTCACAATATTAACTTGTTAATTGAAGTGTTGTATAAAATCAATATCACATTGGCGGTCATCCTGATATTCGGGACAAACAGCATGCTTGCTCGTGTGATATTGCTAATTGCTTAACTATTTTATATAGAAATATAAGACAAACATTTAAATGGAACATTTTTGTTCCCTATTTTGCATTTTGGGGTCATTCTAACCCATTTTTTTTATTCCATTTTGTTTGTAAATGTGTTTTAACTTTTGAATCAAGTCCAATCAAGTAATAGTCAATAAAAGTGTTAAAATTTACCAAAGCTGATATTAGTTCTATTTAATTATTCATCAAACTGGAAATGGAAGGTCAAGTTGAGCGCATTGCATTGTTGGATACAGTATTCTGCACAGTATTATGTGTACTGCTGCATATTTAGTCAAATATAGTCATTTTCTCTGCATATAGAAAATCTATGTATGCATTCTGCATTATTTCTTTCAAAAATATTTGGTAGTATGCCATTCCTGCTCATCAATCTTTGGTCAGATGTAAAAACTCTACTGTAAAATAGCAGAATAGATGGAACAGGCCATGAATGGCGGGGAAAAGAAGGCTGATTTCCATGCGGCTCTGTGCTGTCAGATTGAATTAGCTCAGGTGTAATTAGAGCGCTGGAGAGCGTCCTGCTTTGGCTGCGGTGTGCGACGGGGCAGCATGGCTCTACACTGAAGCCAGCTGATACCGAGCCGGGCCGCTATCACCATGCAAACACACGCCTCCAACATCGCAGGCGAGCGGCAAATCCAAGCATGAAATTAGCAGTCACTCACATCATGCCCGCATACTTGCATATTTCACTTTGTGTGTTTTCTGCTTTATTTGTGTGTGTGTGTGTGTGTCACTGTCTGAGTGTTTGAGCGGCTAGCTGGAGTTGAAGTGCAGTGTGTTCTGCTGGAAGGAGGTTAGACACTGTTTGCAAACGACGTCTGCGTTTAATTAGTGACCTTTTTGTCAACATGAAAATGGACCCTATTTACTGTCTTCATATCTCTTCACGTTATATTTTTGTACAATTTATCAATGCATGTTATTCAAAAAAAACCTCCTTTTAAACTCATCAAAATGTAACAACTCAATCTTCCTCCAAATTGCCCTTCCATTTTGCTGACATCATCAAGCCCATCATTTTTTCAAGCCTGTTTTAACAATCCAATTAATTAGAGATGGATATAATTAAAAAGTCCTGCTCAACATGATTATTTGTTGAATATACTGTTTGGATTATGACAAGGTAAAATTAATTGGCAAGCACAATTTCTCACTGATTTTATAGAAATCAAATCCCGAGAGTATGTGAAGATTATGACAATAACTAAATATTTTCAAACATTTTAGAATTACCCATAGGTTAGAAATCACACATCATTATACCTTTAGTTTCTATTAATATATATAAATCTGTATACACTGAAAAAAAGTAGTTTTTTCACAAATATTGGTAGTAAATTTACAAAGAAACAGCAAGTAACATATTGAATTAAACATGAAATATTGAAGTAGAAAAACTGTAAAATACATATAAATATATAAAATATACTCTAATAATCTATTTACACCTCCGAAAAAACTGTGTAGATGTTGTGAGCTTCGCAGATTTATTTAGTTACAATTATAGTACCTTATTATTGACCGTTATTGATCAATTCATGAACTGTAAAATTACTGATTACTGTAATTTATAAGCAAGGTCACTGAAACTACCCATGATGCAATGCATATTACAGTTAAATTACTGGTCATTTTACAGTTCAGTAAGGGTTAACAGTGTATTTATTATTTAGCGTTTATCCCAGAGCTCTGTTAAAGACTACAATCATTTATACTAGGAATTAAATATGTTTATACCAAAGTTTATACCTAAGCGAGAGCTCCATCAGTCTGTCCATGAGCCGTGGAGGAGTAATATTGTCATCTGGTGTAGGCTGGACATTTTTGTTTTTGCTACAAGGTCAAATGTGGTAAAACTCTGACCTTGCTCAGCGCGTCTCCTCTCAGCACGTCTGCGTCTCCATTCCTTTCATGCACACAGTCACTGCTGCCCTCCTACAAAGGGGCCATTCATAATGAAAGGAAAGGGTTTACTCACACACACACACACACACACACACACACAAAATGTAGAAATACAGACAAAACCTAACCTTAAATTAAAACTTTTAGCAATTTTTAGAGTAAAAAACAACACCTATTTTATTCATTAATTGATTTTCTAACTGAAAACATCTCTATAGAGAGGTTTTGTCAGATTTAGTTCACATTTGGAGACAGTTTTGCACACAGACTCTCACTGAATGTACATTCATCCTTACAGTTTTCAGCCCTGTAAACATAAAAAGTCAAAGCCAGAATATTTTTAATATCAAAGGTGAATCATGTCTGTTTAATTTAGTTCAGGTGGGTTCTATTCCTCCATGCCCCCTGATTGAAGAAAAAAAAAAAAAAACCATTAATATGCAAATATCAAAGTACATGTACAGCTGGAAGGGAAAAGGACTCTCTTGATAGAATGTAGCCGATGTCTTTTTTTTTTGACGGAGGAAAGAAATGAATCAAACAGAGAAAAATGAACTTTGTGATTGCACGGGTGTACCACCCAAAGGCATGGCAAGCAAATGAAAAATCAACACTGTACCCACTGATAAGACAAATTAATAAGAAAGTGTGCTAAGTCTACCTTCAATGCCGCTGCTTGCGTGAACAAGTTATCTCGGAGCAGACGTAACCTTAGGCTTTGGATCTGTTCCTGTGTTGGCTTTACTCGAACACTTTGCAGTTGTGTTCATTTATAGTTATGGAAGGTACAGAAACATTACAAAACAGATATACTGTCATAGTTTGCGAGGTCCATGGTGGGATATGACTTTTTTAGTGGTGTTTGCATACTGCAGTGTTTGATGGACATGTCATGTGGCTTGTTGAGGAGAGATGTGCTGTTACTTTTCAGACTTAGTTTGATTGTGGATACATGCTTGCATTTTTTCGAACACATATTTCGAAAATGGTCAAATCTAGTCAATTTTAATATTTTATATAGCTACCTGATTTTCTGCCTCAACAATGCCCTTGTAAAAAAAAAAAAAGAAGTGTGCACTTAATAATATTGAATGTGCATTTGTAATATAATTCAAATCTTCAAAAAGTATATATATATATATATATATATATATATATAAAAAATCAACTTGCGGATAATATATTAATAAAATTAAAAGCCACTTAAGTGTGCGTGAGAGTTCACTTCCATAAATGTTTTTTTTAAACAAACTTTAAAAGGTAATTTCAAAGTTTTACTTTAAAATACATTTTAAATCATTTTGTTTTTAATGAAATACACTTATTTTGATGTGATATATTTTAAATGTACTAAATTGCAATGTACAAATATGCAATTACATAAAAATTTGAATTCATGGCATACAAGTTTCAATAGAAATGACATTAAAGTATATTTTAGTTGATCATAAATGCTTGTCAGTACATTCAGCAGTAACTTTAACCATATTTCAAAGACAATAGAAGTAATTATGAAATTACTTATAAAGATGTACTTAAGTCCTACTTAAGTGGGTAAAAAAAATCACTATTTAAATTTAAACTGTTAATAAATGTTATGCAATTAACATGCTATTAAGTGTCCAAAACCATTTAAGTATATTCTTTTAAAGTATACTATGTCCTTAAAGTACTCTATTTAAAAGTGTATTAAAGTGTACTTCGTTTTCACAAGAGTGAAGACAAAGGGGAATTCACTTTAGCGTCTTCTGAAGTGCTAATGTTGTGCACTTGTTTGTCCGTTACTTGACAGGAGTGTTTGAAAATGGGCTTGAGACTGACTCTGAGGAGACGGAGAAGAAAGAGATCTTGAAAGAAGAAGACGGGTCTGTGGAGGACGACCTGCTTTACTACTCTGACCCAGAGAACGTCGTCTCTAAAGATGGAGATCACTCGAGGAACGGTGAGCTCATTTCCCATTAAAGATAACCAGAGAAAACAAGTATGTGGTTGAAAATCAATTGGAAAACACGGTAGCACTTTAGTTTAGGGACCAATTCTCACTAATAACCAGTTGCTTATTAGCATTAATATTACTAGCATATTGGCTGTTTATTAAACTACCTTACTAACTATTAATAAGCAGCAAATTAGGAGTTTATTGAGGCAAAAGTCATAGTTAATTGTTAGTTAATAGTGAGAATTGGTCCCCAAACTAAAGTGTGACCCGCACGGGTAACACTTTGGTTTAGGGAACACATATTCGCTATTAACTAATAGTTTTATCTGAATAAACTCCTAATTTGCTGCTTATTGATATTAAGTAAGGTAGTAGTTATGTTTAGGTATAGGGTCGGGTCAAGTGATCTAGAGTGTAGTCATGCATTAATACATGCTTTATAAATACTAATAAACCTTCAATATGCTAGTAATATGCATGCTAATAAACAACTAGTTATTAGTGAGTAGTGTTCCCTAATCTAAAGTGTTACCGAAATCGCATTACACATAAAATTCATCATTTTAAATCACATGTATGGGCTTGTTTTAATATGTAAACAAACACTTCTGTACTGTAATCCTATAGACGGATATATTTCATATTGTGTTTCACTATAACTGTTAGAAGTATCAGACCTTTTCTAGAACCCACAATCTTTCCCCACCTTTCCACCGTAGCCCCTTTGGCTCAAAGCAGTGTTTGGTTTTGTGCTGAAATTGAATTTGAATATGAAAGAGAAGATTGAAGAAATATGGCATTTTGAGGTGGAAGACCTACTGTATATGTTACTAACAGGGTTATTGGTCATAGTAAATAACAACAGAGTTGCTGGTATTTGCTGCAGGCCTCCACCATCAAACTCAGGCTAATAGCATCAGCTCTTTGAACTGAAATTCAATTACAGGCGTTTCTGCCGGCCACACCTCACCGTCACAACGGGATAATTCAGAGCCCCCCCAGCCATTTGAAATTCACTCCGCATCCTAACGTTATGCTTTTCTATTTGTAAATGATGAATCTTCTCTTTGAAATGCCTGTCTGACGTCCAAAAGTTTGCGACGGCAAAAGTGAAGTGCGTAAACTACCTGCTTTGCCTGCAAGCGTGCAATCTTCAAAAGAACAATCACTTGTGCTTTTTTGTTTGAAAATTGGTGGAACGATGTGTGCTGGTTTGCTTTTGTTCTTGTTGAATAGCAAGAGGTGCAACCCTTTTTCATTTCCTCGCATGTTTTGACCTATTAAGTTTTGAAGGGCAGCAGCGAGGAAACATTTTTGAATATTTATTGTTTTTCTTGATTTTTGTTTCTCCTCTACTTGATCACATAATTGCTTTTTGAATCTGTGAACCGTATAATGGAAATGTCAAGAAGAAAAGTATAGATCATGACACCTATACCTGATGAAAATGAGTTATGATTTACCGTTTATGATTTCCTGAGCTGGGTCATTTCGAGCCGCTCTCAGGACTGTAGGTTTGCTTATTAATTACTCAACCATGAATAAATAAATGTGTAAGAACGTCAGTTTTCCAGTTGAGGTTTATTACCTATATGATAAGTCATATAGTAGAATAGTCAATCTGTGAACCATATAATGAAAATGTCAAAAATAACACAATAGATAATGGCAGTTATGATTTAATATTTATAATTACATTAGTACTGGCAGTAAAGCTGATTAATTACTCTAGAACAAATAGATGGATAAGTATAAACGGCATGTTTCCAGATAAGGTGCTTTGAGAAAAATCAGCACCCGCTCGCCGACATTGTTGAGTAGTAACTGATTACATGTAATCTGGATTATGTAATCAGATTTGAAAAATGAAGTACTTGTAATTAGATTACATTTGAAAATACTCGTAATCAGACTACAGTTACTTTTTTATTGATTACACGATTACATATTATTTACACAATAGCAATTAATTATTTAATATATTATTAATATATTTTCTTTCTCTTTATATTTTTATATCAATATGGTACAAGATAACTCTATTTAAATCAATGTGATAAACGAGTTATGTCCAAAGTAATCTAAAAGTAGTCAAATGTGTAATGTAGTGGATTACATTACTATCTACAATTTTTGTCATGTAATTTGGAATCAGTAATGGATTACAATTTGTACGTAATCTACTCGACGATTTCCGGCAATCCTACTGGAATCCATATTTTTCAATATGTCGCTCTTTTTTTACTCGAAATTTGTCCGAATACATGAAACCCCCTGGTTTGAACATGCTCCAGCTTTTAAGTGGTATTTTGGCTGTCTTGTCCCTTCAAGAAGGTTTAATACTTGGCTCTGTCCCTGTATTTATTCAGCTCAAGTTTTAAGATCATAAGGTTTTATCCATTCCAGTCACTAGAAAGGAATTTCCTGTCTGCAGAGGACATGGACTGTGTGTGT